ATCATTTCACATTTAAAGAACTTTCAGAAGTTTGAATTCTGAATATGAGTGAATTTTCCTTTAACCTTATTCTTAAAATGAAAACTTTTCATTGCTCATAATATGCTTCTGGGAGCTGTCCAGAGGAGAGGTGCTGAATTGCTGCATTGTTTGCATGTCTTTACCTTCAGGGACCAGGATATTCATGAAAAGAAATGAACTTTAACAGTCGGAGCCGGATGGGTTACCTGTACCCAGCACCTCGATGGATGGACGATCTGACAGCTCTACGCCTGGCTGAGTGACGTGGCGTCTAAAAACTAGCTAACTGAAATACATAGGGCTGTCCGAAGAACTACCAGGGCCAAAAAGCGACCATGTTTCTGCTGTGGATCATTGTAAACAGAGGAAGCAGCTGTATTTATACAGCAAACTGCACTATAAGTTGAGTTAATGACTTATTTCTAGAACTGCGCTGCTTGAGGCGGCTGCATGTTGGAGAAACTCTGCTAGCTTGACTCTGATATATGGCTTTATGAGAAATTTTGTTTCTATATTAGTGGAATTTCTTTTTTCTTATTTTTTTAGCATCTGGTCTTGAACGCTGTCAGACTAGAAGGATGTTCACTGATATTTTTATCCTTTTTGGTTACGTGTTACGATACGTAACCACAGCAACCATAGCAACTTGATTTTTTTTAAATCTGGGAACAGCTAAAAGACTTTTGTCACGAAACCTGGAAATAGTCCGCCGTTGAAAAGGGCCACTTCCTGTTAGCGGTCTGTCTGTCAGGGTGGGTGGAGGTTTGAAGAGGACCCGGATGCAGAAGCTGAAGCTGAGGTGGTTCTTACAGATTTGGTAACAAATAACAAAAGCCACCGAGTCTAAAAAATACTTAAATCCAGAAAAAAACTCAACAAGACGGCAAAGAAATGATGACAAACCAGCAACAGTGATGATGAGCAGGAGGAGCATATATGGGAGAGAGAAGCAAAGATCAGGCTAATCAGCAGATTGGGAGCAGGTGTGAACAGAGGAGACTAGAAGGGAGCTAGGAGAAGGAGACTGACACAAGAGGGCAGCAGAGGGCAAACAAGAAATACCTAAGAACTCAAATACAATAAAAAATAACTAGAATAACACAAAATAGAAATAAAACCAATGAAAACTTAACGATCAAACCCAAACAGAACCAAAACCATGACACTGTCATTGCAAAATTGATGGTTGATGGAAACTGGTTTGATTAACTTTCCAGCTGTTACATATAATGATGTAGAGGAAATGGCAGAAGCAAATTCATCAACAAATAAGCGTGAGAAGGGCTGTTCATTCTTTCATGGAGAATTTATTCAGTTACAGTTGATCGGCACTCGTTGTTTTAATATCTTCATCCACTAGATGGTGCCAATCTGCCACTGACTGGAACTTATCCAAAGTATTTTAGTCATGGATGTAATTGAGAAATGGACATTATATTCAAAAGCCAGTTATCATATTAAACTGGGATAATATCGGTGATTCGATGTGTCTCATTATTGGTTCATGGCTGCAGGAGCAGAATCAGCATGAATTGATTGCTGCGAGAGAACTGGCTGTTGCTTCTGAACCCTTTCCATGGCAGACTCCCTCTATGTTGGTTCTGTAAAGTTATTTCAGAACTGATATTTAGGCGGCTGATGCTGAACCTGGAGACTAAATTATACTGTGTGAAATGATGGCTACACACAGAAGTACTGGTTTCTTTATACAGGTGTCTGGATTCCCATCTTACCTCGCTGCTGGGACCCACTGCAAAGATATGAAAATAAAGCACTTACTGAGTGAAATCCATCGAACAGTGGAATAGGACCAGGTTAGATTCTTTTAATTATTTTTATTCTTTATGAGAATAAAGTCAGGAGAACTAAGCCAAAGGGATACAAAAATAA